CTTCACACTCCTGTTGCAGAGGACAGTACGACTTTACTCCCCAGACCGCCTCGTATCACGATTACTCGTAGTACGGGGTCTCGCTGCTCTCCTTTGGCCTTCCTGGCATGGTTGGACCTTGTGGAACGAAGTTCCAGTCAGTGTAGCCCGCGGGATCATTGCAGCACTCAAGCCCGACCAGTCAATCAAGGTGGCAGCTTTAGGTCGGGGTATGGCTGAGGTGCTGATATGGCCAACAAGGAATGAAGACACTTCAAGTCCGACCTATTGACCGAAGCTCATTTCTAGTGTTTCACCTTTGTGATTGGTTTACAGTTGTCGCAAGATGCAAACGTTCATATCCGGAAAGTTATCCAAATGATACGGAGTTAAATATTCGCAATCCAAAGTCTCAGCACAGAATCTCAGATAGCTACCAATCTCAAGAAGGATGCATCAACGGTTGAACACTCAGCCCATTGAGCTCGACCCAATGCATTAACCGATTTTCAGGTGGCCAAGAGATCTTGGGACTACTCAACAAATCCGGAAGAATTCTTACCACCGTCAGTAGTTTTTCATTCCTGGTGAAAGGAAGAAGGCCTTCGCTGCGGAGTTATTTATTCGGAAATGCCAACCAACTGGTTATAGACCATTGAACAAGGAAGCAAAACTCTAATCTGCATCTTAGTTACAAAAACTGGACACAGATCTCCCGAACGAGTCTTCCTGGAGATTCATTGCCTCCAATCATTCGTCGGTCAAATAAAAGCAAATGTTACAAAGTGGCCCCGCGAATTCCGCAACATAATTCCATTTTTCTATCGACGCAAAGCGAAATTCTACGAACAACATATACCACTCGCGTGCCTCCCGATCAGTAGTATCACCGTTACACTGGTAGCTTCTTGCTGTTACTACTCATCGTCAATTTATTCAAATTTGTACTGCTAACTCTAGCATTTTCTGGTTTTTTGGTTAATGCTTGCGGAGGTGCGTAGTTTTTGCTATTTTACAAGAGCTTCACTTTAGTTGTCTATCAGTTGATGGTGATTGATGTGTGTGAAAGGATGAAACGCCTAGCCAAACAGGTCGAATAACCTCGCGGAATGAGATTCAGGCTGGGCCAACAAAGGCCTCACTGTTCAAATGTGTAGCAATAATACTCTACACTGAAAAAGAGAGTATTTATGAGACAATCCACACGAACGTTCTTATTTAAGAACGCTCACTTGGAGGTAACCCTACAAAAGCTGTTCACATTTCATGTGTCGAATAGCATTTGTTTAGCCCAACCACGGGTGTTTCATGATCGATCGTTGTCTACAGTATCAACAACTACAAGTTTATGAAATCGCTGTGGAAGCAGTAGATAAGTCGTCTTCTCCACGCGAATGGCCCACAATTAGTTCAACCCCAACTTGTCAGGTAGCAGGCAGACTGGACTTCTAAAATGGGTTCATAACGGCTTGGAGTCTTTAAAACATACTGGACGCCTACATTAGTTTCCTCAGCGGTTAGAAGGCGAATTTAATGACCGGAAGGTCCGTCGTTTGAACCCGACCTCTGTCTCCTTTACTTACCTTGTCTAGGATTTGGCAGACTTGTACTATCCCAGCCCTTGTGCCTTCTTCGGGTGGTATGGCAGTTAGGTACTGAAAGGGTGCTATAGCTGAATGATTTTTTCATTCTGTTTCCAGGACATCGAGCAGTTGGAATACTTATGCGAAAAGCTGTATACGACCGATGATGCCGAGCTCCGTACACAAGCGGAAAAGGCATGTTCCACTCTTTGTGAGCGGCCCGACTGCCTCTCTCTGTGCCAGCTTCTTTTACAACGTTCGGCCGTACGTTTATCTTCCCTCGTGCGTTTACACTTGACTTATTGTTTAGCATTGCTACGCGCAGTTAGTGGCAGCCACTGCTCTGACCAAATACGTCTCCAACCGTGATGCTATAATTCCCTTCACTACTCGTTTGGAGCTACGTGGGTTTTGTAATACAGTTGCTTAGATTATATTCAGGTGATTACGTGCTGAACTATCTCGCGGCTCACGTTGGCTTGGAGAAATTTGTGAATCAGGCTCTCATCACTCTTGTTTGTCGGCTCACCAAGTCTGGATGGTTTGATATTTCGGGTGAAGATGGTGGATTTCGTAATATTCTTACCTACGCGTCAAAATTTATTGAAGTAAGTGATTATTTGTATGAATATGCTTCGTCAATGCTTATCATTCAATCCCCTTTCTTCTCTAGGAGAAACACTTGTTTTCACCTCCATGATATGAGCTTTCATGCATGTCAGTCATCGTGACCACTCTTTACTCGCCAAAGAGGCTAACTTAGTGTCATCAGGTCAAGTGAATCCACATGTAATTCATTCTTGGAGGAATTTTCAACGGACGGGCACAATGGATCGTAAAAATAAAAGAAAACTATGCCCTTGCGTGTAAGGATCGTAAAAATAAAAGAAAACTATGCCCTTGCGTGTAAGGAGCAGTCGAGAGAGAGAGCGAAGGTTCCAGGAGGAGCTGAATTTCGGCTTTTATCGTTACGGCACTGGCTGCGCTGTTCATATTGCCATAAAAATGCTTAATAGGATCGAGGTGCGTTTTGCACTATATGATGTTGGAGTAAGACTGGGCAGAAAGCTTGGTATGTAAAGAATTACCGAAGTGCGTCTGGTTCTGGGGTCTTTGGTTTTTAGAACAGACTGGAGGGGCTATTTGTAGACTTGAGTAGCGGCTGATGCAGCGTTAGTCTTCGCTCCAATGATAAGACTCCTTACTCGCCTCTTCAGTATCTAAGATGTGCGTTTCATGGACTAGACTACTTGTCATTTTATCACCAAATACTGTTTGCACAGACGAGTCCAAGTTGGTTGCTGTTCTAGAGATCTCCTCTCTCTATTCCGGCGCAGACAATTCGTCATTCTGCGCACGTTCGCCAGGATATGAATTTTGAGAGTACAGATAGTGTGAATGCTACCGTCCCACATTTTCACTTGCTCGGTGTGTAAGTTATAATGCTTCACTTACTACTTTGGTTTTCTGACTAGCGGCCTTCAGTCTCTCTTCGAACGTTTCATTTTTTGTTTAATGTCCATCTCATTCGCTTTTCTTCATCTTAGTCTGGACAGTCGGGTGCAATTCTGGTTGGCGTGCATTTGCTAAACAGCTTGGTTTCTGAAATGAATCAGACCACTGAGGTGAGTACCCATACGTGTACAGTAAGGTCTTTGGTTGCCTGTCTGTATTGTCTGGGTGTAACACACTACTCACAAGGTTGCTGAAAACAGTCCATGACCGATTTCGCCGTTCTTAGGACTCACCAGGTAACCTCAGCTTTCGAAGAAGACCATTATAAACGAAAGGCTCGGCTGGATACCTCTCGTCAAGACCAAATTTGTGTACAAATGAGAGAACCTGTCCTGGTTGAATTTTGTACTTTGTACTACTTTTTGTACTACTTTGTAGTACTCTCTTTTGTGAAACGATAACCGACTGAACGTCAGGTTTTGGGCAATAGTAACTTGGATATCATCTCAATTTCCACAAACTGTTTCCATTTGCCATATTTTCGTGGGTGAAGAAATCTTGGTAATTCTTACTGACGTGTGGAGATTCTGCTGGCCGTTTCCACGGTGAATTAGTGCTGAAGAGGCGGCTATGTTCCTCCGAATGGGTACCAAGAACCCATCCTCTACCTCTGAAATGTGCAGTTAGCTATTGGCTTAAGGTAGGACTTTGTGGTTTGACTCTTCGCTGTGAAGCGGTCGGTCGTTATGTCTGTACGCATTTCAAACCATTCCGGCTTCCAACGACGGACTAAGAAGCAACTAACAGTGACCTGTTCTACAGGGGGGGGGTTAAGGGGTGTGGGCGCAACTGCACTTTCATCAGTACGGGATAGAATTTCTGCTCTGGCAAACCAATTAAAAGTAGATGGGCACACACTGGATCGGAACCATTCTTCAACAAGGCCAGTGTCCTGAACTTTTCTTTCTTTGTCTTGTCCGTCCTTGTCTGTTTTCGGCATAGGTTGGAGGTGAAAACGAAACCGCGCCGTCCGATTCTACCCCGGTTTATCCATCACTCTGATTTACGGTTGCCCAGTTTATCGACACTCATGATTCATATGGGTTACATGGTGACAATCCGCCGACTGGACACACCAACCGAATGATTTGTGTTGAAAATTATTATTACTGGCAGTAAAAATGTAGACTTGTTGTGCGTCACTGTTCGGTCACGTATTCCGTTGCACACTGAGGATGGTTCACAGTTATTTTAGCAGCATCTGTACCACTTTTGCCGTGTGAACGATTATCCATGTTCGTGACAATCGGTACTTACGGACGTGAGTTGGACTTAATGTAGAAAAGATCAAAGGTGAAAAGCGAGGCGCCAAACTATGACCCCTGGCCTACTTAGTGGGCACTCCGTGAGGTGCCCTGTGAGGTGCAGGCGCTGTCGTACGTCGCCCACGACGTAGTTTGATTTCATGTCGATTGACTTGTACCTATTGGTTCAGTGGCTGGTATCTGTCACGCGCGTTCTACTTCCGTTCGCTTCGAAACTTTCGATATAAACCCCTATCCGTAAAAACGGCCATGGTTACTTTTTCTCTAAGATCTGCGCCATTATTTTATAATTTCCATATCCATTTTACAAGGGCGACTCGGTAGTGATGACAATAAAAATCAGTCTGTTTCATCCTGTTTCCCACCAACAAGCATGTGACCGTGTTGTCATTCTGGAATTCTAGGTAGCCCATTTGTTAATATGGTACGGATTTTGTCGCCGAATCACCTGGGTCTATTTTTTAGACAGTATGACAGAGCCCAGCCGCGTCTCACGGCCTGGTCTCACGGTAGATATGCACCGGAAGGCTACCGGCACTAGCCGATCGGAATGGTTTTTGAGCCATGATAGGCCGTGCTTTTTTTGGTACGTGCTCTTCCTTCGCAGTTTTCATAACGCGTTATTGTTTCGTGCGAGGTGGTCGTGGAAACAGTTTTTAAGCCGTTCTGTGTGGGATTGACACGAAGAGAACTGAACCTTATCGTTGTTCGACTGCCCAGCAACTTATTGAGCTACACTGCGGGGTGTCCCCGTGACACTCACAGAGTCTCATACCAGGTTGGTCAGTGGTCCGACAAACACAGTCTGCTGATCCTTCAGGTTGGGGGTTTGAAGATGTGGCGACTTGTTCCGTAGAAATGGCAATGCATTTGCATTTCCCGCCAAACACTGCTGCCTTGCGGTTAGGCTTTTGAGCCAAAGGCTTTGGTTGAGGATCCTAATCGTTGTCTAGGTGTGGGCGCCCTGACAGTATCCCCTCCCATGTGCAACCATGATGATGACGATGGGATTAAAAGTCTTGATTTCAAGAATTCCTGCATTCACGTGTTTCAATTGTCTTTTCCCAACAACAGTCCGATATGACACGTGTCATCTTTCTGCAACGAAAACTAGCCGCTTCGTTCAGGGACAGCTTGCTGCTACCCATACTGAGACTTAGTCTCAGCCTGCTCCGTGAGGCCGATAAGAATATCCCTTCGTTGGACTTCAATAACCCAGAACAGGTAAGTTTGTTTTTCGCATGATAAAAGCGCTTTCTACCATAACGACTTTCCACATTTTGGGTGATGCTTATCAGATTCTGGAATAGGCCGAATATCCGCTAGTACTTTGTATGAGCATCTGGTTACAACGAAATCACACTGACACTTTTCGGACCATCTGTCGTTACAGCTCATTGTAGCTTGTTCGTTCTGTTGGCATTTTCTTAAAGCTTGGGCTTAAATCCGCTGAACCATATCACCATCCCTCCTGCAAACTAACTTCATGAGCCACTGCTATCCCCTAGTGATATGACGAACCACTAGGTCCACTTTTGGGACCTCATGCATTCGAAATGGTAGGAAAGAAGCAACCCCACCTTGTTGTGTTGTAAAATGGAGGGCTTGGATATTCGGTTTCTCTGTCGTCCAGAAACCTCTGAAACACTTGGTGCCGCGGTGCATCCCTTTCACGACTCACAAGTGCCCAGTGATGTATTCTACAGCAGACGTTCAACAGGTCTGAATGTGCAACAGCTGCCAAGTCTATTAAGCGTAGATACGTCCGAGTGAAACATTTGAATGCCTGTTATCCCCAAATACATCGTGTTTCCCGCGTTTCAACAGGGAAGTTTCTTCAGCAGTTTTCACATGCTTGTTGTTGTGGGGCCAACTGAAATCGTTTCTTCACACGAGGGATTCCCTGGAAAACAAGTTCAGTGATAAAAAGTCATGATGAGAAGAAATCGTCAGCTGATACCGAGATTTCTCTCCTAGATCGTCCTTCGTTAACAACACGACTGTGTGGTTATTTTCGGACACAGTTTGTATTTAAATACCGATTGTTCGAATTTCGCGTAATTAAGGATGAAAAAACCATGTCACTTAATTTTTGAAACACTGTACTGCGGACACAAGGTCACTTGAAAAGTCACAGCAAACGGCAGACCGCAGTCAATCTGATCCAGCCAATTTTAGCTCCTAACTTGAATGTGCCGTGTGGTATTTATCAGGTTCATCCAATGTTGAAAATACCATATCTACACTTGACCCGCCTTGAAGACTAACCGAGCAACCTTAGTTGATGATCGAGACCCGAATTCGTCCACAAAACTTGGTCGAGTTATTCATCATTCTTTTACTCCAAGCCATGAGATGACCTTTGAATTGAAGGAACAGAGAAGCGCAGCAGGAAGGCAACGGTACCCAGATTTTGACCATTTCAACTCCCGTACCACCGTAGCGTTGAGAACATCGGTCGTTGCGTTAGGAAAGCCACAACCTGTCGGTTGGCCTAGCAGCTGTCGAGCCAATGGAGAAGGCTTGCACGGCTAACCCACCAGTGCATTCGAATGTTGCTCTGGCGCAAACAGGCCCTAGCAGCTGTGCCCTGTTCTCCGTCTGACCGTCACGTTGATTGCACTCAAGAGTAACCATATCGAAGGCACTGTCGCCGTTCGAATGCTTGACCGAAAGAAATAGGCGTCCATTGGCCGCACAATGGTCTCAGCTGCAATACCCTTGGGAGTAGAGTGAAACGTTTTGCGCCAAAATGTAGCTGTTTGTTTTGAATGTGCTCAGACCGGAAACCATCCTGATCTACGTCCATATTTTTGCAGCTCAGAAAATTTAATTTTCCATTGAAATAATCATACCTCTGCCGGAAAATCTGGTGGAATAATTCCGCAGCGTCGCTGAGACCCCGGGATTCCTAAAAGTTTGGTACTCTGAAAGAAGGCTTGCACGGCTAACCCACCAGTGCATTCGAATGTTGCTCTGGCGCAAACAGGCCCTAGCAGCTGTGCCCTGTTCTCCGTCTGACCGTCACGTTGATTGCACTCAAGAGTAACCATATCGAAGGCACTGTCGCCGTTCGAATGCTTGACCGAAAGAAATAGGCGTCCATTGGCCGCACAATGGTCTCAGCTGCAATACCCTTGGGAGTAGAGTGAAACGTTTTGCGCCAAAATGTAGCTGTTTGTTTTGAATGTGCTCAGACCGGAAACCATCCTGATCTACGTCCATATTTTTGCAGCTCAGAAAATTTAATTTTCCATTGAAATAATCATACCTCTGCCGGAAAATCTGGTGGAATAATTCCGCAGCGTCGCTGAGACCCCGGGATTCCTAAAAGTTTGTACTGGTACTCTGAACTCAATTGCCCGATTGCTTGAGCCCATCAGGGACACGTCATAGCTTTCGAAAATTTACTTCCACTGTGCGAATACTGAGCGCCAAGGAAATAAGTGCGACTTATCGCGCACGCATTGTGTGTACTGGTACCTTCGTCAGATCGACCCATGTGTTTAGCGTTGTAGCATCGTACACTTAACCGTTTTCACGGTTATACCCTGACCACTTGGGGGGAAATCTCCATCAAAGTAGTGGAGGCTACATGCGATCGGTAAAGACATTTGTACATGACTGCGGTACATGGTTCATGATTATGGATTAGCCCACTTTCAAACACTGAAGACGCCATACAAAGCTAGCTACTGACCGAATGCATAGACATTTGGTAGCAAATTTGGCACCCTTCGATTATATATGGGGCGAGATGGCCCAAATGGTTAAAGCGCGAATTTACTGACCGAAAGGTCCGTGGTTCGAATCCGACCTTCGCCGCTCGATTTCCCCTGTCTAGGCTTGGGCAACCTGGCAGCATCCCACCCTCGTGCTTTCCTTCGGGTAGCATGGCAGCTAGGCACCGGAAGGGTGCTACAGCTGATTGCTTCTTCGATTATATGCATGTAATTTCAACGTTTTTCCGATAAAATCTGTGACAATAAATAAAAGTATTTGTAAACATTGTGGTGTAAAATTCCACATATGGGCTACTTCCAAGCAACACGGCTACGGATGGTTGAGTAAGTGGAAGGACTTTTTGGAGTATCAAAAGAGCTTGGCGTTTTCTATCGACCGACTTATGACGCTTGAAGCTTTGCATATGATGTCACCATCTTACCTCCAAAATCTGTTGCAGGCAGGATTTACTACGGTCATTTGTATTCGGGTGGTGAATGCTGTTGTTATAGCGTTAAGGTTGCTCATTACTGAAAAGTGTAAGTTCATGACGCAGTGTGATGTCCCCTTCCTGGAAGGTCATCCATGCCTAGACGTGACGTTCCTTTGCAACACTCCCTACAGTGTTAAGACTGGCATATGTAAAGGTAAACGAGCCGTCGATTTTGCATTGAACAGCCATTGTTTGGAGATCTGTCGGTGTCCTTCAAGGTACTTCCTCAGAACTGTTAGCTCCACGTCGTAAACCGCATAAATTTGGATGCGGTAATACCAGGTTCGAACAGCCCATCACTCTTTACACCTGTTTGAAGTACCTTGACAGTTTGAATCACCGTAACACATGGATTTCCAAGGGCACTGCAGTAAAAGCGAGGCTGATGGCCAAACCTAAATTGTCGCATAGTTTGACTTTCTGAAGAATGTAGGCATACTTAGCCTGATTGATCGTCCA